GATGACGAGTGCGGCAAGTTCCTCAGGAATATCGCCGTGCAAACCTCATATACATTTTGCTTGCGTCAAATGCCATCCGCTGAAGGCAACAGGAACTGTTATTGACGATTTCTCAGTTACCTTCTGCTTTCACATACATAGTAAACCCTCGCTAATCCGGTTACAGTTAATCCGGATCAAAATATGAAGTACCACGAAAAATGCTAAATGCAGTCTTCTTGGTTGTGATGCCGTGTAGATCTAGTGTAAGCCGACGTTTCGGAGGAACGTATCGCCTCCATCTTCAGGGTAGAGAAATCCGCGAGGGAGGACCCAGCGTGTACAGGTGGCTGCAGTCACCGCCTTGAAAGCCTCAAACCTTACGTACGAAAAACGCTGTTCACAGTTGAGTACATACTTTAAGATACATAACATTTCAGACAAAACTTGACAGTTTCTTCAAACCTGCATTATTGTGTTCATAAACAAGTGCAACCATGGGTTACACAGGAGATGATGAGTAAAATGGAGGAGCGAAGAAAATGGAAGAATGTCAACAATGAAGAAGGCAGGAGGAAATACAGGAGACTGAGGAATGAATTGAAAAGAGCCACGGACAGGGCCAAAAAGGAATATCTTGAGAAGATATGTAATGAGATTATGGAATTTCAAAGAACAGGCCGTTATGATTTGATGTACATGAAGACAAAAGAACTAGGATGGAAAGAGAATCATGGGATTCAAAATGTTGGCATCGAAGACTCCCAGGGGAATAGAATAGTAGATCAGAGGAAAGTGCTGAAAATTTGGGAAAATTATATTTCAGAACTATATGATCGACCTAATCGGCCAGAAACCTTAGAAGTTGAACCGGAAGAAGAAGTAGATACAGACGAGAAAGGACCATATATTTTACAAAGTGAGGTGGAAAAAGCTATCAAGGAAATGAGGAAGGGAAAGGCTACAGGAGATGATGATGTACCTGGAGATGTGCTCAAGTTACTGGGAGAAGGTGGTTTGAAAACACTGACAAAACTAATGAACACCATATATGAAAGTGGAGAGTGGCCCAAGGACTTTACAGAAGTTACAATGATTGCCTTAAAGAAAAAGACAAAAGCTACAAAATGCAGCGACCATAATAAGACAATAAGTCTTATTGCACATACAGCAAAGATAATAGCAAAGATACTTAAAAGAAGAATTGAAAGGAAAATAGAGGATGTACTTGGAGAAGATCAGTTT